CTCAGTCACGAAAACCCACAAACCACAAATGAGATTGAGTTGTCTTCACGTAGGTTTGTTTGCATGCAGAGTACAAGCAAACCGAGTTGTCCCAGGATCAACTACCTTAACAAAAGAAATACACACCTCTGGGTGTGGGTGATCTCCAGGGTTCCTGCCGCATCTGCTTCTAGACTACCACATCCGTGATAAACCTCCGGGTGTCTAATTATCATCCGTCTGCTTTCCAACTGTTTTTTATGTTACCTCATTTTATTGTAAATTTTCATATTTTTCTATTTTTAAATGATGTCTTGATTATTGCACTGTGTTCATTGTTTATTGTTATGCACCAGTCACCAAGTCAAATTCCTTGTATGTGTAACATACTCGGCAAATAAACGGTTCTGATTCAGATTTTCCTCCCATTCACTCCTCACTCATGTTGACCTGCATACATCTTTACCTGTTAGAGAGATCATGTACGTACACACATCTGTCCCTAGTCTCAGCTTAACCCCTTGGTTACATCATCATACCTTGTCATCAGCCAGGCCTCAGTGCACAATTATTTATTTACTTCATTCCCAAGTGGACAATTAACAACAGAGCCAGGGCTCCAGTCGCAGTTCAAATAGTTGGACGACATCTCACCTTAAATTTTAGGACGAGTGTGCACGAGTGTGTAAAATGCTGTATTCCATGTCTCCTTTCTGACCGTCTCAGTGGAGAATCCACTGTTTTCCTGACTGCGGCGCTTCCTTATCACCTTGGGTTTCATGCAAACTCTGTGCACATCATTCAAGCTTTTGTCTTTGCAGTGAGTGAACTTTTCTTCACCTATGACTTAGAGGTTACCACAACTCATAAGTGTATGTATACTTTGTATTGGTGATTTGTTAATATATGTGATTATTGATACAAATGAGGTTACATTCAGTCTAATACAAGAAGACAATTTCATACCACACATCTCAATGCTGTTGTTGTCTCGAACTCTGCAGGATATAAGCTAAGAGACAATTTTGCTTTATGAAAGTGAGAAGTGCCAAGAGATGAAGATAAGAAGGCACATTAATTAGATTATCACATCTCCAAAGATGTCTTTTGAGATCAAGACTTCGTTCCACTTGTCTCTCACTTACTTACACACACACATTCACACACAATTATCTCTTTTTAATAAAACATCAGGGAATGATTCTACGTCTTTCAAAAAATAACCATATTGACCACCAGGAGGTGCTACAGCCTTTGTTTACTTAGATGGTCCACTTTGGCGATTGAAGTTCCTGCATCATATTGCAGAAATTGAAACATGTTGTCTTTTGGTATAAATGCGGCATCACGTCATCATATTTTTTGCATCTTTGATGTTATATATTAAAGTGCGCCTTCTATGTATTTTAATAAGGCTGCATTCCCTGTGATCCCGATATGCTTTTGTTTATACTTTAGTTTACTTTTTTACAACAGACCATACAACCTAGATTTGCATTACAGCTCCGATCCATTTTACAAAAGATTCCTGATGCTGATCTCCAAAGTAAAATTTAACAATTTGTCAGGATTTTTTCAGGGCCCCCAAGAGCCCCTGGCAATATTCTGAGAAGCAGTACTGCATTATATTACTTCATTTTCCTCTACAAGGGAGAGTCGTTAAAGTTATTAAGTAATTTGTCTCTGCAGCTTGCATTCCTGTAAACTCCTGAAATGTGGAACAGGAGACAAATGATTTACCTCAGTAAAGGGGGAGGTGAGGAGTGTTTCACTTAACACTTTTGAAAGGTTTGGTGATCCTATTTGGGGAAATGTTGCTTTTACCAGGGGTAGTTCATCAAACAGGAGTGGCACTTTTATTTCCTGAAGGAATGCCAGTTGTGGGTGTCTGCTCACAGAGATCATCAAAAGAGAGGAATGGAGGAAGTGGAAGATAATCTAAGGATCTTGATAGCCATCGCAATACTGAGGAGGAGTATATGTCATTTTTTTTAAGTGAAAATCCTGAGAGAAGAAAGAAAAGCATTTTAATATGCACTAACCTTGCCTAACATGTTCAGAACGCTAAAAGAAAAAGCTTGAATGCTTGATTTTGTTGTGGCAAAATGACGAGAAAAGACGGCGAACTGAAGTTGCAACCCAGCGGGAAGTGTTTTAATAAGCACACGCCAACATACAATGAGTTCAGCAAATCCAATGTATTACTTTTCACAGATTACTTTTATAGTCCAAATTCACCCCCCTTTAGTCACTCTCCACCAATCAAACCAGTCGCTTGAACCACAAACAAAACACATCTGGTCTCTTATGTCATGCTCTCATGACTTTGTTTGGGTTAAGATAACCTTTTGCCAGAACACACGATTCGCGTACGGGAAATGTTTTGATACAAATTGGAGTGATTTATTACAATTTGTCTGGCGCGCCTTAATCTCTTCCTAAGAATGTTTTTATGGAACTAAATGTGTTCAACATAACAAGTTATATAAACTGTTTACTTATGATTGAACACAAGTTATATGATGATTTTCTTCAACAATTTTGTCAGTTGTTTGTCTGAGAGGGAGGATGTGACCATGTCAGCTTTAAAGAAATTCAATAAAATAACAGTCTGCTAAAAGATATGTAAAAAAAAACACATCATTCGAAGAAAATATTGGTGTGAATAGTGTGTACAAAACAATGTTGTATCCCTTGGCCCAGACTACTGCAGATGAATCGGGATCCTCATTTTATTCTAACCTAATGACCCCAAGAGCCTCGTCACATGAGGCCAAGTGTGAAGGACTCAGAGGCCTTTCAAAATACCAAACCAAATCTTACTTCATGTCGAATACAATTTTACCACAACACTAATTCATCCATCCATTTTCCTCCGCTTATCCGGGGTCGAGTCGCGGTGGCAGCAGGCCAAGCAGGCTGACCCAGACTTCCCACTCCCCCGCAACATGTTCCAGCTCATTCTGGGGGATCCCGAGGCGTTCCCAGGCCAGCTGGGAGATGTAATCCCTCCAGCATGTTCTGGCTCTTCCCTGGGGTCTCCTACCAGTAATTCAATCAAAGGGAAACCAAAAATTTGGTTTCGACAAAGTGGAGACTAGTTTTTACAAGTCATCCACAAAATTAAATCAATGGATACATCTTTAGTGGAATTTATTGGTCAGGTTTTCATTCAATGTTTTCATTCAATGTCAAAATCAAGCAGTCAAGCCTTTTTCTTTTAACGGTCTGAACATGTTAGGCAAGTTTAGTGCATATTAAAATGCTTTTCTTCCTTCTCTCAGGATTTTCACTTTTAAAAAAAGTTCACACAGTCAGTATTGCGATGACTATCGAGATCCTTAGATTATCTTCCACCTCCTCCATTCCTCTCTTTTGATGATCTCTGTGAGCAGACACCCGCAACTGGCATTCCTTCAGGAAATAAAATGCCACTCCTGTTTGATGAACTACCCCTGGTAAAAGCAACATTTCCTCAAATAGGATGACCAAACCTTTCATTTCATTCAGGTTTTCATTCACATATACTACGCGTAGCTTTGTTAATTTTTATGAATGATGGTCCTCCTAATGTCGTTTGATCTGTTTTTATTCTTCTAGCATCTTATTTAGCTTAATATTTTCAACAACAAACACCTTATTGTGAAAGAATAAACGATCAAGATTGTCTCAAACTTCACACTCTATACGACTAAATGAGAAAAGGCTTGGTTAGAAATAACAATGTATATATTTTCTGAAAATGTAATATCTTATCAATTTAGTGCAGAGAGCAGTCCTGTAGCCTAAATCATCTTTTTCAGCAGCCCAGAACTTTAAATTGCTTTTTAAGTGTTAGATTTCAGGCCTGTGGAACTAGTAAATGATATGTGACACTATAAAAAGATGGCTGAATTGCAACTTGATAATAACGAACACAGGTTGGTGTATATCTGATATCCTTCATCTGCAGACTGTGAACACATTGTTGCTCTTGCCACACGGACTCACAGACCGGAGGCTCAAGGTTGCAATTCCCATTTGAAATCAAATCGCTACCTCCACCGGCCCTGAAAGACAGCCGCCATCTGTAAAAACAATCCCTGAGCAGATCTGTAAGTGTGCTGGTTCCGGGGCACAGGGGTCAGCTCTGGGTCACGACAATGCCAGGAAGAAAACTGTCGATTAAGTCTCCTTCACCTCCTCCATCAAAAAGCAATACCTTTACACAAGATGAGAACATAAGGGTGCTGTAACAGCCTCAGGCCAGTACTGTCACCAGACAAACAGTGTGTAGCGTATGACACACACACACACACACACACACACACACACACACACACACACACAGGGTGTCGTTTTCACATTTTAGAACCTACAATAGACTCTTAAATTCAAGATTAATGATCACTATCACCTCTCACGACCCCTCTGGAAACTCTGTGCCATGCTTCAGTTTGATGCACAATACATATGCTGTTTATAGTTTATTTTACTTTTTTCCATTTTATGTTTTTTCCCTTGTGTGTCCAGGTCTCATGTTGGATTGAATCTGTGTCTGGTTTTGGTTTTCTTCTTTTTGTGTTTGTGAATATTAAGACAACAATCTTAGGTTGTTGATGGCATAATTAGATCAAAACAATAGTTTGACTGGTCACATTACACTGATGAAGATTGTAAAATAAGATAAAAGAGAGGCTGTTCTGCTTTTCATCGTCTTTTAATGAAATATGAATATAAGAATATGGCTATATTATGCCTATCCTAGCTTGTTGTGTATACTAGTTAATCGTCTAATATAAGAATAGCTGGGGGGTTTCAGTTAACAGATATATTTATCATCATATAAAATAAGATAAACTTTACTTAATTGTCCCACGGGGAATTTGTCTTGGGCTCTAAGCCGCTGCATCGCACAACACACTGTGACATAACGTTACTGTGTAGGAACCTTTTTTTAAGCGGAACGTAGATTGTGTGCTTTGTTTTCAGGGGGACGATGGAACTTACGTCCGACAATATTTTGCATCCGTGTAGAAAACAACCTTAAATAGTCCCATGACTCTCCGTGGAGCAGTCCGAGGATTTCACAAGTGTGTGATCTCTTATCCGTCAGTATTGTAATGTATAGAGGTGTTACTCGCTACTGACACAACAGCAGCTATGCGGCTACTTTATAGCAATAACGCTAGTTAAGCAGCTAACAGTTTCCTAAGTGATCATGTTGGGACTTTTAACGCGCCAAACTCGTAATATTAAAGTGTTTATCAAAGCGTTTAAACAGACAAACATACATAGGTGTTCCTCTGTCAGCTGTCAGTCTGAGTATATCCGCAGAATTATTTTAGAGAACACAGAGATAGTGGGGGAGCAGAGTTTGACCCCAGAGTTCAAACTGAGGCTGTTCACCCCAAACTGCAGATTTTGGAGTGAAAAACCAGAGCTCTGGCCTTTTGATGACCCGTACTGGGCCATATACTGGCCAGGAGGACAGGCGCTCTCAAGGTACTATTTTAGCCCCACAATAAACAAATGTGTTATGTTTGTGAGGTACTGCTGTCTCTTATAGTGGCACCTCTGTGCAGATATCTCCTGGATAACCCTGCAGTGTGTCGGGGTAAAACTGTTCTGGATTTGGGGAGCGGTTGTGGAGCCTCAGCCATCGCTGCAAAACTATGTGGTGCTGCTCATGTAGTTGCCAATGACATTGACACTGGTATGCATCTATATTTATTTTGATATCCAATGTTACATCAACAACAGCAATACATCCACTAAATACAGAGACACTGCATTGTCACAGGGCCCTGTGGAGCCCCAAAGAAGCTCACCAATAGAAGGTAAAGTTTTAACCTGTTTGTGCTACAGTTGCAGCCGTTGCGACCCACATAAACTGTGAGCTGAACAGCCTGGAGCCGCCTGTTTGTCTGACTAACAACATGATTGGCTCACCACCCAAAGGCTTTGACCTGATCCTCCTGGGTGACATGTTCTACGACAAGGCCCTCGCCACCAGCCTTCACAGCTGGCTGGACCACTGCATCAACAGCCACGGCACCAAAGTCCTGATCGGAGATCCTGGAAGAGCCCAGTTTGAGGAACACTGCATCCGAAGACTCTTGCGTCAGCTGGCTCAGTTTGAGCTGCCTGAGTCCATCAGAGAGGAGAACTATGGTCTGACCTGCAGCAGTGTTTGGTGCTATCGTCCTGAACTCTGAGGACCTGAGAGGATCCTATGTGCTCTCTTGTTTGAATGTGACAAATATGTCACATGTACTGACCTGTGTCGGAGAAGAAATAATTGTATGAACTCTGTCACTTCTCTATAGCTTGTTTCTGTGTCACAGCATTACTGTGACACATGTTCTTTATTATGTTAGGTAAATGTCCATAGTCCATATGTACTGGCTAACTAAACATTGATGTGAATGTACACGCTGTCTCCAGCTGGACGGGACAAAGTGCATCTCTTTGATGTGTATTAAAGCTCCCCTCAACACCGAGAAGGAGGTCAGACTTCCTTGACCCTACCCGGGTGAAGGAACTCTGTCCCTATCCAGCTGAATAGTATTCCTGTGACTCTGTTTGTACTCGTTGGCTCATGTTTGATGACTTGTACTCTTCATAATTTTTCTATATCTTATCCTGTAATAAATACTTAAAGACAGAGAGCTTAAGATACTTTTGATTTCTCACGAGGAAATACATTAATTTACACCACAACCCACAAGGACCGTGTGAGGTGTTGTGTGATTACTTTGTAGTTATCTTCGAGACTAAGTGTCACTTAGCTGTGACTTGTTAGCTTACAGAAAACTATGGTATTTTGTAATTGTTTTTTTTAACTTACATAATTAATGTTTAAGTGCAGAAATGAAAATTTTTTGACATTGAGATTATTTTGAGAAAAATCATGCAATAAGTCCATTAAGCCATACATCTGTAGCTGACAAAAAAAAGTCTTGGAATTAGTGGCCAATATGTTCAATGTTACATGGGTAAATATGTAATTATGAAACAAAGAATCTCATAATTGAATTCTGCATTGTTTTAGTTTTTTACTGACTTTGGGGCTCTATAGCACACTGAACTGATTTCTGCTGTTATTTGTTTACCACAAACATTAAGCTTTTAGCCATAATAATAGTGCCATGCAACATTCCTGATCATTCAACATTTGATCTCTGACTCAGAGCCTTGAGGCGTTAGTAACAGTCTTATCTGTAAGTGATACTAAAACTACTGGGACTGTAGAGTTCCCTTCAAGAGAGAACAATAATGTAGTGAGAAATAACCCAATGGGAAATCTGCTGTGAATATTCATCTTATTTTCTGAAAATAATTGTGTTTTCTCACTGCGGCAGTATTGTAAACAATCATGACTCCAGGAACAGCCTGGATTAAGTACAGTTAGGGTTAGTTTAAGAAGAAGTAAAATCACAATCTAATGGAATGAACATGCTTGTGAAGGAAATCTGAGAGCTGGATAAATTGTGGTTTTCAGGAAGCAGAGGCATTTATTGAAGCTTAATCAAGGAAAATAGACATATGCGATTCAAGTGTACTGTGTATTGCCCCCCAATATTGAAGGTCACTTCCTGGCGAGAAGTATATAAGTAGTTAACCTAAGTCTCGTTGTATGTCTCTCAGGTAAGCATGAGAGACCATATCCCATGACTGCCCAGCTCCACTGACCACTGACCAGTCATCCTAGCAGATAGGGAAAATAACTATTGCTCTAAAAGGGACAGCCTATGGCCTTCTGCTTCTAAATGTTCAAATGACCTTAACATGGCCTGGGGAATATTGTGTCATGCTACCTTTAGCCTGAAGAAAGACAATTCCTTCACACATATTGAAATATCCATTCTGGAGGAGCCAGTGTGAACTGAAAGAAGAAATAAAACATTTGACTGCTAGAAATATAAATTAATAAATGAACAATAATGCACCATGAATGAAAGAAGTATTAGTATGCAAGTGTTCTAGTTGGCAGATAATTCCTGTGAGAGCTGCAGTGAAAAGTTTGAGATTAGTCATATTCAAAGCTGACTGTAGTGGCCATTTGTCTAATAAAAATAAAAAAAATAAAAAATAATCAGAGGCCACTGATGCACCGTGGTTGGTATTTCACTCAGGCAGAAAAGAGTAGATTGTCCATACAGGATTCCGATTTTTCTTATTTATTTAAGTAAGCCAAATAAAACAAGCAAACAAACAAAAAGAACAAAGAAAACTCCTGTCTTACGCTGTCTCTCCTGTGCTGATAAAAAAAACTATAGGCCCACCCTGGTGCATGCTGGTCCTACCTACCTACTCCTATATATAGCCACAGGTGCCCACAGTGTTTACCCAAAGAACTAACAAACGAACCAACCCAAAACCTAGTATACTTAAACAACACAAAATAATATAACTAAACAAATGACTATTAAAGAGAAAAGGCAATCTTAATTTATCAAACAATCAATCTAACCTAAATAAGCAAACATCTAGAATAATTAAACAATACTACTTATTAATTAAATAACAAAATAATAATATATGTTTTTAGTGTATTGCTTTTATATATGATGATTTTAATGTAAAGTGTCTTTGAGTACTATGAAAAGCTCTATGTAAATAAAATGTATTATTATTATTATAAATAAATAGTATTATGGAAGATTTCTATGTTATTAATCGGGAGAAGAGAGTTTTGTTCACAAATCAATAATAAAGTCTTAACAAGATTCAAAGTTGTCTTTGTCCGTTTATTCGCTTGCAAGAGGGAAGAGAATACAACAGCTTATTCAGTAGTCTGTTGCAAAAACTTCAACGAAGTGCAACATTCAACATCATTTTATACACAAGTTATCTCTTAAGGAAGTCGCACCCACGAGGGCTTATGTGTTGTATTCAGCTGACCTCCCACAGTTTCGATACATTCAATTTCCTCATTACTGCATAGTTTCAACCACACGTAAGTTTCGGGTTCACGGCAAGGACACATAGTTGTTGTGCATATTTTACCATTACATTAGCTCCTACACTGACGTTGGCAATCAATTTAGAATTTCGGAAAAATCAAAGTCTTCTGAAAGCAGGTCAATATTTGAGTTCAATTTGAGAACATGTTCGCAGGGTTTGACTAGAGGAGTCAACTAGAGAAGTGAAACTTCAGCAAATCCACTCAGCTAAACTTATATAGTAGTTTCTGATTAATACAGACTCCCTAAGATATTTTGCATTATGATTAAGATATAAAGATCCATTGAAATGGGGTGTAAATGTCTCATTCTCTCAAAAGTCAACTCAACATATTACATTTAGACCAGGGGTCTTCAATGTTTTTCAGGCCAAGGACCCCCAAACTGATAGAGAGATGGAGCAGGGACCCGAGATAGGGATAGGTACCTACCGCTGAACCACTTTAGGGATAGGTAACTACCGCTGAACAACAGTAGCATACCACTCTTGGGATAGGTACATACCGCTGAACAGTAGCATACCATCGGCCACTTTTTGATCTCGGCGCTACTGGTCTGAGGTTATCCTCATGAGTTGAGTTAAGCCGGTCATTAAAGATTTTATGATTTTATTTGTTTTCTTCTAAACATGCAGTACATTGTGAGTTTTGTGATGTATTGAATGTTTATTGTTATTCTTTTATTTGTTGGGAATTAAATGCAAAAGTATTGGGTTGTATTACCCCTTGTAAATAAACGGTAACATTCTGGCATATACCGTAAAATCACCGTAAAACCCAGTTATCCTAGCATCACATAACGTAATCCAGTATACGGTAAGATACCGTACAAATAAATTATGGTAGCTTCACCGTAAAAAAAACATGAAACATCAAAAGAGGAACTGTATGTCACAGATAGATAGTTCATGGTTAACCGTTGTGGGGCGCCCCAATTGTGACTCCAGGCATCTGATAATTAAGTGCTTCTTGACCTTCCATGGAGCAGAGAGTAAAAGCAGTACACAACTCTCTTCCGTGTGTTCACTGACCCTCTGAGGGTGTGGATCGAGAGTAACGCCTTGTCTCCCTTCTTGTGTTTCTGCATCAAGGACACAGTGCATGAGGAGAACAAAAGCTCAGCATCTCAATCATAACATACACACGTATTCCCAAGATAGCTGGAGTCACAACATCCACTCGGTAGATGGAGTGGAGCCGAGGATCCCAGACGTGTGCTGAAAACAGAGATTTTACTTTAGAGAATAATTCTTATCCTTATTTGTCTGTTTTTCATAGTTGGATTATTGTATTTTTTCGTAGCACATTTCAGTGACATTACCATTAATCATTACTAAATCAAACGGGTTATGTGTTAAACCATTAAAACCACACTATATTCACACATTCGTTTTTGTGGTGGAAATGAATCTTTCCCTGTGAGAAATAAACGTGATGAGAAAACTCTCAAATGTCTAAGTATTCATTGAACAGACACTTAAAATAATTCATCTAAATGGATAAAACTCTTTCCCCATGGATGGTTCGGAGGTCTAACCACGAGAAAGTGCTCCTCCTCCTCCGTCCACCGATGCATCCACCGAGGCCAAGGTCCCCGCCTCGGTATGTGCTGCTGTCTCCATGGAAGAGGGTTATGTAGTGAGATCAGGATGACACAAGCCAGACATGAAAATACCTTCGATATAACATTTATTATTTGGGTTCAGTGAGTTTGGATGGCGCCGTCTGCATATGTTCAGGGTTAAGCAATACAAGTTATATCTAAAGAACATTATAAATTGCCACAACAGTTTTCAGTATGCAGATGTCACATGTGAGTGTGGAAGGAAAATGTATGCGTCTTAAAATGTATCAACCTATAGTCATATCAATAATCTAATAAATGTTTTTACTGTTATGTTATTCAAATCACCAAGGCAAAATATATGTGCCCTTTTGGTAGCTTTGACCTCGTTTACCTTTTGTAGAGACCACATCTCTATTGTGTGCATGGTGCAACAGGATGCCGAGCCAGCCGAGGAGCAGATGTGTGTGGGAGTAGGTATTTCTAACGGGTGGGAAACATTACTTCAACTTTTCCTCACCCTGGGCCAGATGGGTTACATTCTGCTTTGTAGACTTCAATAAAACAAGTTAGACATCAGAAACAAAGAGACAAGACAGACTTCAGAATTTGTTGTCAATAGATTTACTGCAGATCAAAAATGAGTTGGTCTTGAGAGCAACTGACCAGCCTCAGTCATGCATCCTTAAATCCTCGTTCATGCTCCCCCTTCTATGGGCCGTATTGCAAGTGCCCTCCTTTGAATAGTCTCTGAAGTTGGTGAAATAACTAGACACCAAAATGTCCACCTTTCTGGGTACTTGCTGCTGAATTCACTCACTTTCTTTAAACTAATGTTGTCAGCACTCTTAACATAACCATTACCTCATGCATGAGCAGACGTACAACCTCCAATTCGAGACACCTTTTGTTATAAAAAAAAAATATATATATATATATATATGTCCGAGATGAAAATATTGTAGAAAAATATTTACGTGGAAATATATATATAGTATAAACAGCATTTCAAAAAGTTACATTTTCAGGTAAAATATTGTGAGACCTTAGGAATTGTATCTGAAGAGGAAGACTTGAAAGCTTTTACAGTCATGTAAACAAATGACAATTTTATGTACAAACCAATGAGAACACGTGACCCTTATGCCTTAGTAACTGTTGGCAAAACTGGAAACTTCCATTGGGTCCTTGAATGTACAGTACAAAAATACAAAGATTCTGTAACAATCTTGGAGGCAAATTTATCAAATGAAATTGCCAACAAACTTCCATCCGTCATGTTATTTATCCACATTTGGCTGAATCGTCTTCATGTATTTCTTCTGAAACATATGGAAGAGGCTGTAGGTCTTGGGGGTGGCAGGGGAAAATGATCGCTCGTTCTCAGCAATTGGATACCATGAACCTACGGAGCAGTACATTTATAAAGTTATAAAAAACTGTAATCAGTCCAAATAATAAAGAAACACAAAACAATAATTAATTTATAAATTCTAGTTGTATTCATTACCTCTTTCCATGACAGCTTTGTTGTGGCTGTTGTCCTTTCCTTCAACAAGATCAGGCTTTCCTGAAAAAGAAATACGTATTTCTTTAAAACAAAGCATTACAGAATACACAATCACTTGAATTATGGACAGGAATCCCCTTTTACAAGGTACAATTTCAAGATTTCTGGGCTCACTTATCTGGATAAAGCAGTGGAACATATTGCCTTTTGCGACATTTAAAAAAAAAAAAAAAAAAAAAAAAAAAAAACTATTTTTCTGCTCACCACTGACAACATTGTGGCTTTACTTTGTGGAGGAAAATGTAATCCCAAATATTTTGAGATGTATGTTAATGTGATTTAATCTAGCCGCTCCCCTTTTGGTCTTTACTAGCAAAAGACGCCATCGAGATGCATTGTGTGAAGTGTAGACTGAAGTGTTCTTGGAGCTAACTAACATGTAAATCTCAGCCTCTGCTGCATTCAATTTTGACCACACAAGTTCCCCAACTTTCTGAAAGGTGGAATACTGAAATTGCTGTAGCACCACTTTAATCTCAATATTAGGATTTACCTGGAACAGGATCCTTGGTTTCCTTTATCCCATTGGATCCAAAGTTAAAGGAAACGGGTAAGACGGTGAACTTCAGGGCATCGTTGGCATTTCTTCCATTTTCATCGTTATTTCTCTCCTGATCAGCAGGCTGGTTGAGCATGACGGTGCGTTTCTCCGTCTTCTCCTCTTCACATTCGAGTTCTTCAGTGAGTGACCTTCTCCAACTAAGACTCGTGCAGCGCTTAGTTTTTCTTCTTAAGATCCTCATTTCAGAGGAAACTGGCAGCTCTTCAGTTTCGGCAGGGCCAATCGTACCAGCTTTCTTGTGACTCCACTTAGCTGAAGAGGCAAAAGTACACTTCTGTGCTTTTAGTTTGCTTCCAGGCCTGATTTTAGCTGGTGGAAAACGAATCTTCCATTTTTTGCAAAGCCGTTTGACTGAATATTTCCATGTTAGACCATTAAAACTGTGCTCTCTCTTCAAGGGACTGATATTCACAGTGAGAACTTTTGGAGGCCTTAGTTCTGCATCAGAGGCAGCCTCTGGAGGGGAGATATGGTTCGTTCTACTGCCAAGTAAAACACACTTGTCTTGTGTTGAGCCAAACAGAACCAGTTCTACAGTTCTACAGTTCGAGGCTGAAGGTTTGCCATCAGTTGCATGAACACAAACCGTGCCACATTTTGAAGCACTCTCCAGGATAGGCTTGGAGTTCACATCAACAAGGGATTTGCATTTCTTTGGTTTCTTCAAGACTGGTAAAAATCTATCAGGACAACTTGATCTCTTTCGTTTACCACTCCAAGTTTTCTGGCGGACACCTGTCGCACTAATTTGAGTTTGTTCTTCTTCAGTTTTCAATGATGACTCAGCCACATTCGTAGACGTCAATTGAACTTGTCCCAAATTTTCATCGAGGTCTGTCGTCTGGCTGGCCACAGTTTTTTTGTCACTTCCACCCGAAGTACATGGCTGCATATTTCCTGTAGATTTCAACTGATCCGGTACACATTCAACTTCAGGTTCTGACTGAATTTCAGTGTCATTTCTGGAGATTTTATTGGTCTCTTTCTGGCCTGAACTGCCTGACTGACCACTTTCTGTCAATTTCACCGTAGCTTGTTCAGAATCATTTTCAAAGTCTGGCATTTGGTTGAGAATTTCACTTTCACTGCTGGGCAGATGTTCTTCGTCATCACTTATGAATATGATGCTTGACTGGCTACTATTTATGCTTATCTGGTCAATGTTCTTTGGGTCATTGTCAGAATGTGGGTCATCATCTTCAGGAAAGTCAAAGTTGTAACTGAATACATTGAATATCTCAGGCCAATGAAATGTGTTGACGCTCTCCCCACCCTTCGTTTGATTTTCTCCTTCTGTAGCAGAGTGGAATTTACTGTCAGACCTGAACGTATCTTTCTCCTGTACTGCCATCACTTCCTTGTCAAGGGTCTTTGCAGTGATATCTTTATGACTTTGCTCGATATTGCATTGGCATTTACTCAGAGATGATGGGTTTGTCCCCAAAATAGTTTCCTTCCACATTTCAATGCAGCAAACCTCTTCTATTGGACAGAATGTCTTGTTCTCCAGTTTTGAGTTACTCAATGTGGCATCGATAACCTTAGGTAGCTCACCCTCCACAGTGCTATTCAAGGCTCTTTCTGGCTGATAGTCCATGTCCATACTTGGCAGGTTGCTTTGTGCTTGCTCAAAGATAACTTTGGCATCTTCTGGAGGAAAAACTTGGATTTTAAATGAGTATGGGTCACTGGAATCAGCGCTCTCCGTTTTATTAGGAGAGGCAGTTTGTGTTGAAGTTGCTTCAACAGAGGAGTCGTGTTTTTCTTCACTTGGGTCAACTTGTTTAAGCTCCGTTGCTTCAACAGAGTCGTCGTGTTTTTCTTCACTTGGGTCAACTTGTTTAAGCTCCGTTGATGACAACATCTTGTTTGACACCTCATTTACACTTTGTGCAGAAATGCTGTCGTCTGTCTCGACCTGATCTGGCTGACTGTCACTCTTGAGCCGAAGAAGATGATGCTTCAGAGATTGCGGGAAGTCAAACTCTTTGTCGATGTCATCAAGCTGCTCATTGACATTCAACCATGATGACTTGTAGGGCAATTCTGAATAAACTTCCTTATCTTTGAGGACATGGTAGCTTTTGAGATGCTTCCCAAAGCAGCTCTTAACCTGTGACAGAATTTCAGACTTTAGCGTTACATGTTCGTTGCAGAATTGTTTTACATCAGCCATTAAAGTATTGTACATTCCTGTCTTGAGTGCATATTTCAAGCTTTCAGGGTCGCCATCCCAAAACATGGTCAATAATTTGTATATAGCACCACACATTGTAAAATCCTTTAACTCCATCTGAGCTTTTTCAGTATCCTGTATGTACTTAGTTAATGCGACTGGTGTCCATGGTGTTGTTGGGACTGAGGAAAGCTCTAAAACCCTCTTTGTATCTATTGGCATCTCACTTTTGTCCTTATCACCATTTTGGCTCACTGGCACTTTGAAGGCTACTGATTGTTGAGCAGTTGGTGCAACACGCTGGTGTACTCGAGTGTCAATATCCACTTTAGATCTTGCTTCAACTGTACACAACTGTTTTTGCAGCAAGTCTTGGGGCCCAGCGGAAGAGGACGATGACACAAAAGTACCATCATTGGATGCTGCTAAATGCCAATTTGCATATTTGTTGGACCTCATTTGGTTTGGGTTTTCTGGGTGAAGATAAGGTCCCACTTTCAGAGACCCAATCTGCTGGTTTTTTGGTGACATAAATAATTTCTCAGGGTTACTCAAAGATTCATCTGTTGCGGTGGCCTCAGACAACTGACTGATGGGGTTAGAACTGGTCTGTTTGCTGGCGACCTGGTAGCTTTTCTGTGACAGTGGTTGCACAACAGCAACAGCTCTGCAAGCAGGAGATGAGTGAAGGGAGCAGTCATTTGCCTTCACTGATAGCATTTCAAGCCTTTCACAATTGTTTGCTACAGACGATTGTTTCTCATTTCTCCGTGGTGTAATGCCATCAAGCAACCTCATCAGTTGAGGTGCATCACTTAAAGATCTCATGTTTTCAGGAAAAAATGCTGCCTGACTTACATATCCAATTCCATCTCGTGTTGCGAAGACATTTGTTACACCGCTTTGCTGAGGTGGCACATTTACGCTGTGAGCTGTTTTAGGCAAAGAATGTCCAGAATTTTGTGGTGTGGACTGGGCAGCATTTGCATTACATATTTCAGTGACAGTTGACATCACAGGTTGCATATTTTGCTTTCGTCCGGAAGGTGAACGAATATACACTTGAGGTCGGCCATCTGAGCCAGCAGTGAACGGCGTACGTAGATAGTCCTCTATTCTTGCGATATTTTGGCATCTGAGCATTTCCTGTAGTGCACCAACAGCAGGAGTTAAGGGAGAATCATTTGGCTTTGACAAGGAAAGGTTGGGTTCATACTGCCCGTTATATGAATTTGAGTTAATGGAAGAGGTGGCCTCTCCCCCATTGGTATGTGTTGAGTACTGTGGAGAAATGTGACCCGTGCTGGAAACGCAAAAATTGTGTCCACTTGATGATGAGTTTGTTGTTTTGCTGTCGTTTCTGAAAGACTGAGCGATAGCCTCATTATAACTTGGTGGGGTGAAGCCATGCGGAGTACCGTTTTGTCTGCGATTGTCATTCTGAGCAGTCGGTCTCTGGTGTGCAGCAGCAGGCCACAATGTGCCAATGTAAGCCACCTCTCCATCTTGAGGCGAGGTAGCTGTTGAAGGAACAGGTTTAATCGACTCTCCATTTATGTTGTAACTATTCTGATCCCTACAATGATGGCGATCAGACACAATATTAGCATTCTGTGTCCTTACTGGTTGTTTTCCATGAACTCCAACTGATTGGTTCCAATTTGCCGCGATGTCTTGCTGTGAGTATACAATGTTTGCTAGCGTCACGTTGGGTGGACTCTGGGTCGATGAATTCTGCGCAGAGTTCTGATGAAAATGTAGCTGAAGTCCATAAGTGGCCTGCAAACTAGGGTTTCCACTTTGCAAATTAGTAGGCGAGTGTTGCAGATAATTGTTCCCTCCAGCTGTCTGCTGAAAAGAAACTACCTGATGAGGAACTGCTGAGGTCTGCCAATTTGATGGCTGTATTTTAGAGTTTGCTCCATAGTGGTGAGTGAATTTAGCAATTTGTGGGGGTCGGACTCCTGTTTGTGCCGTCATATACTGGTTTGACGTATTTGCAGTACCAGTTTGTTGATTCCTCATTGTGTCATGGCTAAACTGAGAAGCAGCCTGTGTAGATTGTGAAGGTAGTCCAACCTGTTGGTACTGTCCATTGATCCATGCAAAAGACATAATTGTCCTCCGTTGATGTGAAAGGTGAAGGAGGCAACGTTCCTGAAAGACAAAAATATGAAAGTTGTCAAAACAGCTGTGGCAAAATGTTTAGTACACAATCTTACATCATAAAAGATCAATCAGGTGGTTGCACAGTCCTGTTTTTTGTTTTTAAGCTGCGAGGGTCATGACTCGTGTTTGTAAAGACATTATGTTAGCGGGCTCCTTCTGCTAGCACCTGGCCAAACGATGCAATAATGTAATGCTATTCCCATCAAAAACCACTGAGTCTTCTACACTTTCCTCACAGAATGTCATGTAGCAACTCTGACAACTAACAATAGAATTATGACTCACTGAAACCAATTAAAGCATAGCTTAAGTAACCAAAACTATAATCATGAACAAGCATCTCTGGGTATAAAGTTGTGGAATAATATTATTATTGTAAATGGATAATGGATTACAAGCATGTGTGCGATACGGAACGTTGTGAATGAATTAAACATAATTGAAGTGTACCAAGGGGCTATTCAAAATCATGATTTTGCCTTGACAACCCGTGTGTGTGTGTGCATAAATAAAAATAATGATAAATATATTTAAAATATGTCTGCATTATTTTCAGTACTACCCTCCCCCCCAGGTGCCGCACTCCACAGGTGGCAAAAAAATGTTTTTGTACATTTGTCACCCCCAATTTATCCCAAGAGAGGAAAAGGTGTAATTATTCATAGCAGTCAAATGTACATTAGCTCTGAATGAGTACTATTGTGTTTATGGTTATGCGTGTATAGTTTGTCTTTTGGAGAACCAAACCTAGGGGAGTTGTAAATTGACTGCATTTATAAAGCGCTTTCTAGTCTTAGTGACCACTCAAAGAGCTTTTCAACAAGAAGTTAGCATTCAACTATTCACACACAAACTGGTGGCAGAGGCTGTCATCTATGGTGACAGTTGTTCCTCAGGAGCAACAAACATTCACACTCACAGCAATTTGCACATGCTCTAATGTGATGCACATATGAGCAACGATAACCTCAGAGAACAAAAAGGATTTCAAAATTTGGTTGAAGTTTTTCAGCCACGCTACAAAATCACCTCACGCAGCCACTTCAGTATGAAGATCGTTCCAGGCCTCCATGAAAATAAAAGACTGACAGCTCATCACGGCAGAGTGGAGATTCAAAGTCCGGGGCTGCAGACACACCACCGCTGTGAGAGTCCCACAGACACAAATCTGGCGCTACCTTTTCCCCACACAATGTAGATATTCTCATCTTTGTGAAAATAAATATCTTAAATATTGTGGTTTTTATGGAAGACTACAGCCCAAAGTTCTTTGCTTTAAGTGTTCTTGAAGTTCTTTAATTAATAAATGGAACGCAAAGTTATATTTGTCTCCTCCCCTTTTCTTTGCTTTATTTACACAAACTACAGGTAGCCTACAGATCGGATCTAACAGGATGTAACCATCTCTGCGACTTCCTGTTATGTCCTCTGAAGGCTGCTGATCACAGTTTTTTGTCATGATCTCATCTACTTTCCAGGCAATCATGCAAAGAGCCAATAGCTTTGGCTGGTCCCAGGTCTGATGGACATGGATTATCCTACTCCAGCCGTGTCTCCACGACTCACTTAAAACCAGCATGGCTGAAGCCTCAGTGGGAGGGGATGAAAGCTGTACAGTTGCCAACACACACACACACACACATTTTTAAACAAGTGAACGGGCCCTAACGTTAACAGTTTCACTTTCAAATACAGGATGAGCTGCAAACGAACAGCAGGATGTGCAGCGGGCTGCAACAGTGAAAAGTGGTCTTAAGTCAGTACATCCGAAACCCGTGCAGAGAGCGAGTGTGTCTGTTGTATCAAAGCTAATATGTTTAATATCCTAAACACAGTATGTCGTGCTTCAAAACTAGGCTATTGCTATTCCTGCCATAATGTAAATATTAAAGTGAGAATTTAGAGAGACAAAAGTAAAGAAAAAGACGGACTGCTTTTATTTCACGTGGACATGAGTGATAAAACATTTGAGCCACAGATGGTCTTCCTCAAGTGAAAAAGTAAATCGGTGATAAAACATCACATCACAATGAGTATACCTCAGATAGATAAGAGACCGATTCGGCCACTTCTCTAATCGTCTTCCTGCGATTGGAGACTTGGATGTGATGAATGATCAAAACTACACTTATCTATAGGTTGACACTCTTTACATTTACTTTTGTAAATAACAGACACCTATGCGATTTTATTGATTTACTTATTGGTGTACTTGGAGTATAAACCCAATGTGATTTGTGATGTAATGGAAATCTTATAAGTAAACTGTTTTATAACTTATTGTTCAAACTATCACAAGCTTGCATTAAATAACTTGTGATCCATGCAGCAGCTGACTGCCTGCACACGCATTCTCTTCTTGCTGTCGAATAACAAGCACTTATATACAAATGTTCTATGCCTTAAGGATAAAATGTATACATGTGCGAGTCTGTGGTTAGCAAGATAAAGCACTTATCTTACTGCCACGGCCTGGAGTACAGTGTTCCACAGCACCCCACTCTCTATGTAACTCTGTGTGACTTCTAGACACTATTTGTGGCCTATGTAGAACTGTGCCTCTTCTTGCAAGAATAAATCATTTAAAAGACAAGTGCTGTTTCACAACATTCTTCATTTCACCTTAAAAAGACTCAACAGCTGGCAAAATAATTTCCCACCACAGTGATTACACTCTAGTGGAGTTGAAATAATTCCAGTCATAGCACGTGAGCCCTTGTTGCTGTACTTTATCTCATTAGAGCAGAGGCTGCAGTTAGCATACCCTGCCTTATCAATGCATTTAAAATACTGTGACAGTACTGACGTCTGTTTAGACCTCCACCTTTATCCAGGCCCAGCTCCACTCACATCTCAGCCCTGCGTCAAGCTGCGCTGCACACACAACATCCTCTTCCTGGAGCTCTTTGGCCTCATCAGTATCATCCTCATTCTACTTTGAGTTAAAACAAACAACCTGCAACCAGATCCGCCGGTGTTACGGTTTAACGTTAACGAGTGACCGCGTGGACTGTACCGGAACACGGGGGGGTTGCATGTTTCATCACGTTAGACAGTGAAGCATTTATTCTAATCAAATACCTTTGTTCCCTTACTCAAGTAGTTATTTTGAGGACTACTTCTACAGTACTACTTCAGCAGAGTACTACACATATAGTTACTCTACGTGAGCGACCCTTTGGTTACACTCAGCAAGCTGCTCATCCATTCGAGTCACAGATCTGAAACTCGTAACGTTGGTCATTATAGAAGTCGTGAAATTGTGGAATCACTGACAAGCATGCAAGTCATTTACTTAAATGATACATAAATCAGGGAAACTGCATCGGTTGCTAATGTGGAACGCGCTAACAGTGTAGCAACAACAGGCGGTTTTAACGTAAAATAACTTAAATAAAAATGTCTTTACGAGTCACTGCAATGCATCAATATCATCTCCTCACACACACACACACACACGTCGATATATATACCGGCCTGTTGTGGCTCTCTACACTGCCCAAAAACAATGCTAACATGCCGTACAATTGAGCTGTTGGCTAACTTACTTTTAGGGTCAGACTTCAACGTGGACGTTCGTAACATTCGGAGATCCGTGCAGTGACGCTGCTCTCTCTTTTCTCTCTTTCATTACTTTCAAAAATTAACAAGCCAAGCGGAGGACAGAGAAATCCTCCCAGTTGCTTTCGACGAACATAACGACATGCATCCAGACTGTTGCGACTCAACCGTTTTTTACGCCTCACCTCCGTTTAACACTGATGTGTTACGTAACCTGCAAGAGGAGGACCCTCCCATCCACCACAGCTGCACACTGATGAAAGCCGGCCTTCTTGTGTGCAGAGGCGGGTTGGAATGGGGGCGGGGCCAGTGGATTGTATCTGGAAGCCCTCCAGCAGGAGTTCCTGAAGAGTGAAAGGCATGACTTCAACGCTGAGGAATTCTACCTCTTTGTCAGATGTCATAACAACCTTTTCCGGGGAAATGTTTTCGCTTTTCGTTCCCATTTTCCTGTTCTCATATCCTACTTAATTTTTGTGGCATGACTCTATTAAACACCTCTCGCAGTAGCTTCTCTGGGAACAGTTGGTTGACCTACACCCCTCGGAGATGTTTTTATGAAACCAACTGTGCTGGGTTCAAAATAACTAATTATATGAGGTCACATACACGTATTCTTCAACATATTTCCCCCTTCCTGACCTCATATAACCTTTACCAGATAGATGGAAATATAACCCAAAATTTCAAGAATATCGAGCCAGAAGCCTACCTTAAAATCTTACAACGCGAGTGATTATACAGAATATACTGAATCTGGGAATTATTCTACCAAGTAACCATATTCGGTAACACTTTATAATAACTACACACTATGAAGCATTAGTTAAGTATGAGTAAACTCTTAATTCATCATTTATAAAGCATTGTTCCTACATTAATAATTCATTAGTATGCAGTTCATAACAACAGTTGTAAATGTTTTATTCTTGATTAATAAGCTGGTCTATTATGTGTTTCATTATTGTGTTTTCATACTTCATAAATGATGGATTCCCCATTTGTAAATTAAGTATTATATATTTTACAAACCAATTATTAAAGAGTTGTAGATGATTAATAAGATAATTTATAAAGTGTTAGTAAATGATTAATAACTTATTTAGATGTACATTATTCATGCATTTATATATAATGGTTAGGGACTATGTTAATATATGCTTTATAAACACATTAATACTGCAATTCATGATTAATTCATGATTTATTAAGGTAGTTACTACTCGTTAGTAAAGTGTTTTATGTGACCTCATGTAAAGTGAGGATTATTTATGCCTTACAAAGCATTTATAAATGACACTGAAAGGCCAGCAGTGCCTCAAAACACATAGTTTTTGAACAGAACAGGCAAATAGACACAACACAAAGTGATCAAATCCATATTAATATTTATTGCAAGATGCAACAATATACTGTTAAATACAAACCTCTCAGCCATTAATTCATGTAAGAAACAAACAAACAAAGACATTCTCCTTCAGGAGAACATGGCTGGATACAAAACATTTGTAAATATACGACTGGAGCTAACCAGGAGCTTTGCATATTAGTTTACATTTACTGCCGCCGATGGTATGCCGCCGTTCAGCGGTATGTACCTATCCCTGGAGTGGTATGCTACTGTTGTTCAGCGGTATGTACCTATCCCTGGAGTGGTATGCCGCCGTTCAGCGGTATGTACCTATCCCTGGAGTGGTATGCTACTGTTGTTCAGCGTTATGTACCTATCCCTGGAGTGGTATGCTACTGTTGTTCAGCGTTATGTACCTATCCCTGGAGTGGTATGCTACTGTTGTTCAGCATTATGTACCTATCCCTGGAGTGGTATGCTACTGTTGTTCAGCGTTATGTACCTATCCCTGGAGTGGTATGCTACTGTTGTTCAGCATTATGTACCTATCCCTGGAGAGAAAAGCAGAAAATCCTCACATTGAGGAAACAGAAAATTATTGATGTTTTTTCTTAACAAATTCTATATCTAATGGTCTATCTAATATCTCTATTTCTGTTGATTGGCTTATGGACACATACTAAAAGTAAATTTTCTTTTTGTGCTGTCACGTGTACTGTCACAAGTTTTTAACTGAAGGCAGGCGCCTCCCCTGCTCCTGAAGGGAGACCTGGAGGAAGCCTGAAGCCTATGTGTCCTCAGGTTTTAGTGCTACAACAACAAGTAGCCTACTAGTAGTACAACTACTACTACTACTACTACTACATGACAATAAATATGTTTAGATGATGCTTTTATCCAAAGCAACTGACAATATTCAACCACAAAAAGAACGAGAATCATGCAACTTCATCACATATGCTGACCGTGCTTCATTTACTAATACAAGTACTACTACCGATGATGATGGTGGTTGAAATCATAAGCACTATTTTGCTTTCATGGTAAGCTTAGCTAAACAATATAAAATAAGAAAAAAATAAGCTGCGGTTGGAAAGAGAGAGTGTTTGAGTGAGAGACGGAGAGAAAGTGGGAGGAGACGGTGTGTGTGTGTGTGTGTGGACATCTTTGCGCGATGTTCTTAATGTCCTTAATATTCGCCATAATATACAAGTAAGTGGCTGACATATGCTGTCAACATATGACATATGCTGGTCTCTCCCATGGTTTTTTTTGTAGAAGATCGTATGATATGAAAAAAAAAATCCAATAAATGAATCTTGTGGGGAGATTGTTTTCTCAACCAATGTTTCCAAGGTCAAGAAAAAACTTAAAATCTTAAATAATAATATGATAAATGCATTTTGCATTAAACCCTTTGATGTTTTTGTTCACCCTCCTGATCAGAGTAGGACTTAAGCCATGTTAAGACTATAGACATACTTTAAAATTAGCATGTGGAGGGAAAATTTGCAAATATTGTCATACATGTGACCTGATGAAGTTGCTGGCACACTCAGATCTTTACAACCTGTAAACAACAAGCAGTTGAACGCTCCTCCTGGAGGGTCCAAGAGACCCGTGGACAAATAAAGTGGATGGTTTTGTTGAGGTATCCACCAAGAATGTCCGAGACACACTACACCCTAAAAACGTATCCCTCTATTTTTCTATAAAATAATTGATACACCAATCGATTAATCGACTTATTGAAATTGTGGATTAAACAAATACATGCAACAGGGTGAAACTGTAGTTTTGCTGCATACTGCAGATGAATTTTGATGCTATCTAACACCTCTATGCCTGAGGAGCAAGAGGCGAGACCCTAAAAAGCGTAAAGGAAGCATCTTGTGGTTTGAGCATCTGGCTGACACTTACACAATGGAGTCTTCTAGGCGTGTTGTGGTTTCACACCTAACATACAATGGCGGGCCGTGCATTTTATACCTGTGCCTTCACTGCTGTCCTGCAGCTGAAACACAGCTACGGTTATTATTTGTTTCGTGTAAAAATGAAGCCAACACCTATCTGCAGAGAATACGCCGGGAGTGCGTCTCCTCTCTGCTCTGACTGCAGCTGGGACTGCTGCGCGAGTTACCGCCTGTGAGTGCTTTGGGGCGGCGGAGGGGCAGCACCCGCTGCTCGTTCACGACAGTAACTGTAGAACGGTAGTCCTTTAACGTCACAAAAGTCTCCAATAACACCAGAACAAGTCGCTAGATTTGTCACTAGTAGCTTTTGACAAAAAAAAGTCGCCATGAGGGTTTAGAAAGTCGCCAGATTTAGCGAGAAAGTCGCCAGGTTGCCAACACTGGCACCGGCTAAATACATCCCTAGAGCAACACTCGACGTAACAATGGTTCCTATCACATATTAAACCAAACAAAAATCCAATCTTTATAAAAACAAGTTGTACAAATAATAATATAGAAACAAGCTACTGCAGATGTAAAAACAAACGCATTTAACTTACCAGAGCTGCTGTTCACTATTTAGCTGCTGTTCCTCCTTTATTTGTTAATAAAGAGTTTAATCTCACGGTTGTTCAGTACATCCGTGCCTTTTAGTTCCAGTAAGAAATCCTTCTCAATTCATGGACGCCAGTGAAGACAGTCGAGCCTCCCCAGTTGTATTCCTCTGCTGGCCTAAACAGAATCACAAAGTTATATCTATTTTATAATTTAATAATTTTTCAGAAATACACTACATGTATTATCATTTATAAAAATATTTTTCCCATTGTCTTATTTTCTCATTGCACAGCTACTGTCTTCCTCAGTTGCTCTGCTTCCAGTGCAGCTTGTTTTAAGTAGAGCTTTTATCCAATCAGATCTCACCTCTGTCTCTAGGTAAGAACAGAGGCCCAGGCCTGCAGAGGAGGCCTGCATCCATTTGCAGTTTAAGTGAACGGGGAAGATATTGTTGATTGTCATGTTCTTCAACCAATCAGATCTTTGGTTTGACATGTTGGGCGTATTCTTTGACGTATCAGAGCCTGCTCGCCGGCCTATAATGACGTCAGCATTAATGCAGCTCAGTGTCTGCCGCGAGGTGCAGAGTGCGCTGTGATTGGTCAGTGGGCAAGCACGTGACTATCGTGAACCGAAGTTTAACAGCAGAGGCATGTCTGGTAGTGAATCACATCACGTGATGCAGCTCAGCCAATCAAATATGAGCATTCTGACTGAGTGAGATGCACCATGACACAGGAGACTGAGACAAGGAAAGACACTGCAGAGCAGTACTTCAATGTTCAAGTTGAGAAAGTAAAATCATAAGACAATCTCTTTGGGTGTGACTTGTCATCAAGAAATGATGGCGGGTCCCACAGCCAGACTAGCTGAGAACCACTGTCCTCCATGAGCACAGAAAACATTATATTTTCCTGAATATAAGCTTCTGCATTTTCCAGATGCTCTAGTACTATTCAAATGTATTACAAGTCTACCGAATGTTATGTACATTTAATAGTACATAGTTACAGTCTTAGAAACTGATAATATCTGTGGTGCCATCATGCGGTTATAAGGTGGTATTTCAGCTGCAGGACAACAGTGAAGGCCTAGGTATAAAGAAAAGAAAGAAAGAAAGAAACATTCCCTTATTAGTCCCACAGTGGGGAAATTATTCTCTGCATTTGACCCATCCCTGTATATATAGGGAGCAGTGGGCTGCCAATGACAGGCGCACGGGTACAGTGTCTTGCTCAGGGACACTTCGACACAGGACACGGTGCAGCCGAGGATTGAACTGGTGAACTTTCGGTTGGCGGACAACCCTCTCTACCCAGTAACCCATGGTCACCCCCCCAAAAATGCAC